TGATTTCTAGAACTCCAACTGATTTTTGAGTGCATGTCAAAGCTAGTGGGAACATAAGTATTATGCTAGGAGGATAATAATTATTATGCTAGTGGGAGCATAAGTATTATACTAGTAGGTTAATAATTATTATGCTAGTGGGAGCATACTCAATTATGGTAAATGTTGCAAGTTAGCAATGTTAATTATAGAAAACAAAAGTTCCAATTCGCAAAATTGCAGGGTTTAAAAATGTTGTTTTGCTATAATTAAGGGAGATGACATTATACTTCATTTAAAATCTAAAGGCTTAAATTGAGTTTTTAATCCAATTTAGTCATATATATATATATATATATATATATATATATATATATATATATATATATATATATATATATGAATGTTATGTTGGAATGGTTCAACATAAGGAAATTCTATATATGGAAATGATAATTACGTTCTCAAAATTTGATTATGATTACGACATCTCTCTTCATAATTTGAATTTTAAGAACATGGCAAATAGAAATATTATAGCAAAAAACTGATAAAGTATCATGTCTTTATGTTAGACATTATGAATCGTGTCTGATATGCTTTGGGTATAGGATCGATTGCATATGCTATAATATTCTCGTGTTCTAAATTTTCCAAATGCCTAGGGCATTTAGAGGGAAATGGAATAGAACCGGATATGGCTATAGTGATTAAACAACTGTTAAGGATAATCTAAGGTTTGTCAAGGACAATTAGAAGTATAGTAATGGACAGACCATACTGACATTATTATGAATAGATATGATTCTATTAATAATGAGTTGTCATGTGGCAAATATGGAATGTTTTCATATTGGGTGTTTGATATTAAGAATATGTGGTTAGAAACTTTTATGCAAGAAGGATGTTCAAAGGAATGTACTATGAATTTGAGACTTCGCTTCCATGGAATTGTCTTATAACAATCTCCAAAGGAATACCTTGTAATATCGTTGGTCAAGTCTCCATGATTTTTAGTACCTAGACATTACAAAGACTCATTGCATCATAGTTTAGAATCTAACACATTCTAGCAGTGACAAGAATTTGGAATTCTTACACTGGTGATAAAGATTTGGAATTGTGAAATGAGTTTCATTGAACATGTGTTAAATTGATCTATTTCACAAAGTAAGGACCATAGAGAAACATATTGTGCATGCTTGGTGCATGACATAACTATTGTTTGGAAAAACATAGTGTGCATGCTTGGAGCATGGCATAACTATTGTTTTAATTCAAGTATTAAGTTGATTACTCGAAACATTATACACTGAATAATGAGTAATCAATATGACTCAAAAGTTTGTGGGCCATATAGAGTTAGCATTATTGTTATGTTTCATTGTGTATGTTTTGACTTCTCGAATAACTATGTTATTCAAACTATCCAAAGTCAATCATACTTTGGAAGTAGGTATTGAGGCAAGACTTTCATGAAAGGGTCTGTAGTTTGTTTATAACAAAGTGGCTGCAGTGTTCATGAGTACTCCTGGAATAAGATTTGAGTATTGGATTCAACCTACGCTCATCTGAATCACTTCATGGATTTTTTCACGAGTGATTGTGAGACGATAATATCTTATACTCTTGAAATGGAGACATATAGTTGCAGTTTACAAGTTGGTTGCACATTGATGATATGTAAACGCACCGGTAACTCGGTGTTATAAAGCGTATCATTGTTTGTGATTTGATGAGTAAATAGAGCAAGCACATGAATCGAAGTTTATCCATTCCTTTTACCCATGTGGATAAAAGCGATATTTGTGGGCCCCTCAATGATTTAGTGATGACACCCTAAGTGCTTGGCCAAGCCTGGACTGATTTGATTTGTTCAATTAGTCGGTCGTCATAAATTGGAAATTAAGAAACAACAGATGGACAGAGAGAATGATTATAATCTATGTCTCAGTCCATATGATATCCAGAATGGAGGAATATATGATCTCTTGTCTAATGGACACGTTATTGACTAGGTCAGAGTTCGACAACAGCTTTTAAGAGCTACAATTGCTAGTCGGGTTGGAGTCATGCTTGCAATAACAGTTATTAGACTTATCCAAGTGGGAGACTGTTGAATTAGGTGTCTAAACCCATAACTATTATTGGTATATACTTGACCCGATAGTAGCATGGTCAATTTGGGTTATATATATGCGTGTCACGCCTAAGGTAATTCAACATTTTTCCAACATCTTGCGATCAAACTCCGTTTTCAGTCTTTGCTTTCCTTTGTCTAGCAACGTATTATGTCTATAAAATAATAATTATAAGCATATTTAAGCATCTTAAGTGTTAATAATATCATAACGTAGGATAAAATAATAAGATAACAACAAAATTATATGACTAAAATAGATGTTATTAACACGCCACAAACTCACGTTTTCCCCAAAACCCAAAATCTCATTTACTTGCAATATAACTAAACAACAAAAAAACATAATCTAACATTAATAGTTTCTCTAAATTGTAAATTTGAGATATCATAACCAGTGGTGGATCTTGGATTTCGGTATGTTGGGAGCACAAAAATATCAAATAATTTTTTCAAAGATGGGTCAAAATAATTTTAAATAAGGTTTCAAGACAATTGGTCTTTACTTTTCTTTGAACCAAATAATTGATATCGGAAATAAGTAGTTTTTGAAGCTTGCACACACAATAATAATAATAATAATAATAATAATAATAATAATAATAATCTAACATTAATAAGCGCTATACCTAAACCTTTCAAAGGGTGTGTTCGGCATGGAACGTTTGTGAACATTTAATAGCTTCTAATTTCTAGTGTTTGACAAAATGCTCCGATTTGAATAGAAACTTTGTTTAACATTACAAGCTTCTAGCGTTTAATTTGAATAAAACACTCCAAATCCAAATACTACTTCACATAGCATTAAAAATACACTACAAGCTACCTACTACCCGTTACAACCTATCTACTATTGGTTATTTTTGCCAAACACATCCAAAATAGATGCTAAGTTGGTGATTAAGGAATGTAATTCCATATGAGATCTTTTTTTTTTTTTTTTTTTCATTCTATTTCTCTTCAAGAAAGGGATAATGACTTAAAAGGATAATATATTTTTCGATTTATATATATCTGATTATTGAGTTTTTTTCATCCATATTTGCTAATTCAACTTGTTTAATTGTACTCATTCAGTTCTTATGACCCGCTACTTCTGGTAAATCGGAAAAGATCACTTAATAGGGTAATATATTTTTCACTTTGTACACATTTAACCATTAATATTTTTTTTGCACATTTAGTTCTTAATAATTTTTTATTGCAAAATAAGTCATTGTTGTTTTTGTAGACATTCAGTGCTTATAACTCAGTTTTTTAGGTTTTTCTGATGATAGTCTATGTGGAACAATTATTATTGAGTTATTTGCATCTGTTGATGCTTATGTCCAATGTGACCTCAACTGCTTGGTTGCTTAGGTCTTGTATTTTGAACGTCCGTATTTAAGTCTACTACAACTTTCATTTAAATTACTTCCATTAAAAAAATAATATATTTTTACTTACGATCTTTATATACATGCATTTTTTATGAAAGTATATATGAACCGTTTTTTTTTTTTTTATAAAATCGTAAGTAAAATATATTACTTTTTAATAGGATTAATCTAAATGAAAATCTTAGTAGACTAAGATACGAACCTATTGATATAACGATCATTAAAATCTGAGATCGTATGAACAAGTTACGATGTTCAGAACACAAGACATAAATAACAAACAATTAAGGCTGTAACGACGATAAACATGAACATACACATCCATAATGATTGTCCTATACAAAATACCTTGATAAAAACTTAAAAGAAGTGTTCATAAGTACTGAATGTGTACAAAAAGAACAAATACTTATTTTGTAATAAAAAAAAAATATTAAGGACTAAATGTACAAAAAAAAAAAAATAATTAAGGATTAAATTTATATAAAAGTGAGAAATATATTATCATATTAAGTTATATTTTCCGGCTTACTTGTATTAGACAGTCATAATGATCAAATGTGTAGAGTTAGACAATTTAAAAGGGCAAATATAAATAAAAAAACTCAGTGACCAAATATATAAAATTCCAAAAATATATTACCTTTCTAAAACATCACCCCTCCGGAAAATAATAGTTTCTATTTTACCTTTTATATGTTACAAACCATGTTTTGAAAACCGGATCAGATTGGATGGTTCGACTGGTTCAATCGGAAACTGGTCCAGGATCCGGTTTTTAAAGACCAAAAAACCGGTATTCGTTTGAACTGGTGAAAACTGGTTGAACCGGTAAAAACCGATCCGGTTGAACCGGTAAAACCGGTTAAAACCGAAAATTTTAATTTTTTTTTATTTTGTATTTTTTATATAATTAAATATAATTATGATATTATTTGGGTTTTTCGGTTTTTGAAACCGGTCCAACCACTTGAACCATCGAACCAGTAAAACGACCGCTTCAGCCTCCGGTCCGGTTTTCAAAACCTTGTTACAAAAGCTCGTCTTCAATCTATCAAAATAACCTTCCAAATCACTTTAATCGATCTATTTAAAACAAATCTATACTAATAATTAAAACCCATTTTCTGCCACATGTCATGTCCTCATTAATTTGGACACATGACATTTTAATAGATTTTTAAAATTTACTTATTTCCACATGTAATTTTCTGATTTGTTCACATATCATAACTTATTTCGGTTACAATATGAGAAAATTAAATGCTTCTTTGAAAAAGAATTGATATATTTATAATGTAATAAATATCATAATTAATGAGAGCTCTAAAATTGATATTGATATTAAATATTGATTTTAAATTTAAAGTTTAAATATTGATATAAATTTTTATTTTTAATAAACCCGTGTAGTATACGATCTCATACCTAGTTTGATCAATATAATGACTAACCTGACAAACTAGATTTTTAAAAATTATTGCTTTTTAAATAATGATAAAATGTCAGTGATTTATTACCAAAAGGTTCTTATTAAATGCTCAAAGACGTAGCAAGCAAAAACAGTCCACGTCGTCAAGGATAAGATCGGCAGTTTTACGTAGATGCACAGTACACCGACGCCACGTCATTCTTATGTTGCATATATTAATTTTTTATTTTCTACTTTTTATTTTATTTTATTTTACCACCACTTTGTGTGTCTATATATAATTCAACTTCATCTCATCATCTACTCTCCTCATCAACTCGAAGCTCACAATTTCCATCAACGAACAGTTCTCTCATCGGATCCCGTTTCACCGATTTACAATCTCAAAGATAATTTCAAATTCAGCGTTTAATTGGTGAGTTTAATCTCCTTTTCTATTAGTTCTTTATACTCGATTCGATTTCGAAGCTGTTTAGATCTGTAATTGTCGAGATATTGAAACAGAGTTTGAAATTCTGTATCTCTGATTCATCGCTGTTTTTGAAACAGTGACTCAATGTGTTGATTTAAGTTAAATTTTACAGATTTTCAAACTGTTTGTGTATTTCATGAAGAATTTATGATTGAATTTGCTCGGCTTTTAGGGTTTTTTTTTTTGTTCCTTCTGCAATTTGCAATGAAATAGTTTGTATGATATCTATTTATATATATATATTTTATTATTTGAAAGTATTATAACTCATATCAAGGATTGTTAAGTCCTATGATAAAAGGTGTATTCTGGCGTATGATACAAATTTAAGAAAAATATGACATCTTGTCTAGTTAACGTCGTTAATTTGTTATGATATTATAAATCCTAATTTAGTATATCATGAATTTTATAATCAAACTATTTAATGGCATGTGGTGAATTGTCCTTATCTCATCAAACTCTTTAATGGCGTTTTCACTACAAACAAGAAGGTTCGTCTGAAAATCTATTAAGAAATAATTGATTCCTTTTTTTTTTTTTTTTTTTTTTTAATATTTGTAAGCTGTGTTTTTTTAACGATGAACTACAATGGAAAATTGCGTCATATATGTGACGACATACATTCTTATATTTCATTTTTGTTATTGTTTTTGAGATTTGATATGTTATGCAATAGTTTAAAAGTCACAGGAAATTAAAAGATATAGGGTTGAAATCGAAGGAGAAATAAAAATGAATATAATTAGAATATAACACTATTTTTATTTACGTGCTTTTTATAAATAAAAAATAATTTTAATAGAATATCGATTTTATCTTTTAAAAAGAACTAAAGTATGTATTTCTATTATAATATTATTTGATTTTTGATGAGTTGTTAAATTTATTAATATTATAGATAAAATAATTTATTACTAAAAATAATAATAGGATCATGTGAAACTTATACATTGTATTTAGTTGATAACATAATAATCAATATTATTCGCATGAAAATTTATTCATTTTTAACAAAAACATTATCATGAAGTATTCTAATTTATTCTATTACTTATTTTTTATATCATGTCCATTAGGCGTTTTTATTCTCTTATATTCAACCAAATGTAATGCTAGTTTATGCTTGTTTTTTTTTCAGACATCAACATTAATCCATCAAATCAAATGGTAATGGAGCAATATCCCGAAGAAACTGTCATTAATAACAACTTCATCAAAAAAAATGAAACCTCCTCCGAAAAATGGAAATCATTATCAGAATCCCAAGAAGATTCCGAGAATTGTCTTTCCACTGGTTTCGACTGCAATATTTGTCTAGATTCCGTCGAAGATCCTGTGGTAACACTCTGCGGCCACCTCTATTGTTGGCCATGCATATACAAATGGATCAAACACCAAAACAGTTCACCCGAAACCTTAGTCAACCACAACCCACAATGCCCTGTCTGCAAACGTGACATCTCTCAAAAAACCCTAGTTCCGTTATACAGTCTAGGCCAAACCACAAAACCACAGCCAGATGAAAAGGGTCTAGATTTAAGGATGGTGATCCCACGTAGACCCTTGAGTCCGAGCTGCGGTATGGTTAGGACTCCGACTGAATTAATTAATCACCGCGTATACCAACAAACACCGAACGTGATAAACCCTACAAGTCCTACTACTGGGATGCTAGGGGAGATGGTGTATGGGGGTATTTTTGGGAATACACAAACGTCTTTATATGTGTATCCCAATTCGTATAATTTAGTGGCGGTTAGTACCCAACGGGCAAGAAGACATGCGATTCAAGCGGATAGATCACTTGGACGTATTTGGTTTTTTCTTTTATGTTGCATAGTATTGTGCCTTGTTTTGTTTTAATTTGGTGATATGAGTCTAATCTTGTTGTGCATTTTTGTACATTTGTAAAAAGTTATGGGTAGTAAACGATTAACTTCATGGGTTTGACTTCAGTTAATTTTGGTTGCGGGCCTTGGTATTGAAATTTATTGGGCTTTTTGACTTTGGATTTTCTTAGTAGGCCACTTAATCTTTGATGGGCTTTGTGTTTTTGCATTTTCATTTTCGAAAAGAGTTGAGCACTAGTGTGATTAAAGTACGTACCCTCCAAACAAAACACCTCTTATTTCCAATCTCGCCTTAGGATTATGTAAGCCACTAATGTTTACCAAGATTATTCAAATAGATATTAACTAATCTACCCTTTTCCCCGCATTTGAATTTTGAAAATCACCTTTTCGTCCTCCTATATATATATATATATATATATATATATATATATATATATATTATATATATATATATATATATATATATATATATATATATATATATATATATATATATATATACTGACCTTTTCTTCCCCCTTCCATTGTTGGGTTGACTTTTATTTTTGGAATTTCTAGCAGTATCAAAAGAGATGGAGTTGTTTCTTGTTGTTTTGCATCATTTATCCCCACTTAGTTGGTGCCATTTAAGTTAGGGGTTATCTGCAAAAATACAAGATAATTCATCAAGTGGTAAAAACACATAAATGAATTTAAAAGATTATGTTTTGACCATAGATAAACAATACAATATATTGGATATGTGTGAAACGGAAAGGTCAACAACGAGAGAATACTTTCATCATGAAACCATTTTTTAGGACTTTTAGTTGTTCGGGGTCTACTTGTAGTTGCATTGGAGTAGGAGGAAGGTTGAGATATATCTCTATGAAATTTGAATCATAACATTGTTTACCAAATGAACCATTAAAGATATTAGGTAATATTTCGAATACCGTAATTAAAGATGGAATGGAATGGAGCATTACGACTGTTGATATACTTAAAAAAAATCATGTTTGTTTATTGTGATTCCTATTCCTGAATTGCTCCTTGTATGGGGGAGCGGGTGTTATTTCTTGATGGAAGTTAACACAATAAAATTATAGTTATAGCTATATTTATACTTTTATTCCTATAATCTTCAATAATCTAATAAAATTTGCCATTTGATAATGATAAATAATGATGTGGCAACATGAATGATAAATAAGTATCAAAGTAATATTAAACAACAAAGAAATAAAACAAAAACCACAAACATTCGGTCCTTAGGTCATGTGTCGTTTTGCACTTCTATTTTGAATTTATTCTTCTAATTTGATTTTATATTTTGTTAAATTCTCTAGTTTTGAATGATACGATGTTAGAAAACATTAAAGTTCAAGTTTCAAATATCCAAAGGAAAACTATACTTTGCATGTAGTCTTTTCACTCTAGCATCATGACAACGATGTAAAATGAGAAGTAGGAACATGATGGGTTTTGATAATAAAAACATCCTATGTGCTCATACAAACCCTAATGCTTGGATCTAGGTTTCTCTATTGTACATGCAATTTATCCAAGACTATAAACCCTAGATCTAGCATATGATAATCAATACAACATATAATTAGGGTTTAGATCATACCTCAATTGTTATGTAGCAATAACAATCTCAAATCCTCCTTGTAATGACTTTAGAAAGCTTAGAGTCACCAATGTCACTCCTCTAATGGTTCACAAACACCAAGAGCAAGAGGATGAAGAACAAGGAGAGTGGAGGCTGCCCAAAATCGTCCAAAACCCTAGCGGATCTCATGATCACGTTTTTGGGGCTTAAGGGGGCTATTTATACATGTAGGCTATTAGGGTTTTAAACTAGGAAACCCTAATATGATTGTTTAAGCCCTAAGCAGCCCATGGATTCCTTTCTTAAAGGTCTTGGAAGATTTCCAATGGGTTTCCCCGTAGAATTCATCCAAACTTATAATATAAGGCAATCCATAGCCCAATTGCAATTATCTTATAATTACAATTCCAGTCCCTTACATTTAATTAATCTCTTTTAGTCACAAACTTAATTCTTATTAATTCTTGACTAATATTAATTAAACAATATGATTTCTCATTTAATATATTATTTCCATAATATATTAATAAATCATAATTAATCCTCTCTCTCCATAATTCATCCTATCAAGTTGCTTTGGTAAAGGCAACCCAAAAGGACCATGCACCATCGGGTCAAGTACATACCAAAATAGTTATGGACTTAGACACTAATCCAACAGTCTCCCACTTGGATAAGTCTAATAACTATTCTGCGTATGACTTCAGATCCTGATCTGCAATCGTAGCTTTCCAAAGCCAATGTCAACTATGATCCTATCAGATACGCGTGTCCTTTAGATAAGGGATCATATATTCCTCCATTCTAGATATCGTAAGACATGAATTCTAATCATTCTCTCTATACTATTTCCCGACTTCCGATTTATGACGACTGACTAATTGAACAAATCAAATTAGTCCTAGCCCGGCCGAGCATTTACGTTTGTCATCACTAAATCATCGAGGGGCCCAAAGATATCGCTTTTATCCTACTTTGGATAAAAGGAACGGATAAACTTTGATTCAATGTTCGCTTGCACTCACTCACCAAATCACACACAACAATAGGGATGAAAGTGGGTCCAAACCCGGACCCGGAAAACCCGGAACCGTTTAACGATATTTTTAAGAATCGGAAACCGGACCGGTATATAGGAATCGGGTCCGGTTCGGTTCCGGGTTTGGTTCAGGGTAAAGTGGATCTAGAACCGAAAAACCCGGAAATAGGAAAGTGGGTAAAGTAGAACTGGGTCAAATGGGTTTAGAACCGGAAAACCCGGATTTTTTTTATTACCCATAATCTTTCAACCGTTATAAAAAAATGAACAAACAAAAAATTACATTTAAATTATTAGGTTATTGACGACATTGATTTATTTAAAAATAAATAAATAAATAGATATAACAATATTGGTTTAAAAAAAATTGACATTTAGATCATATCACAGTTACCTTAGGTAACTTACCTACGTGCCTTAGTAAACAATCTCAAGATAGTATAATATTATTGACGACAAATCGTATAATATGATTATGTATAATTTAATTGTACCATATAGCCAAATCGTATAATATGATTATGTATAATTTAATTTTCATAGTACCTAATGTCAGTGGTTTATTGATGCAGCCTTACTGCCTTATTTGATAAGTTGAGTAGCTGACCCATTTTTTTTATCACTGTACGTTGATCTTTTTTTTTTTTTTTTTTTTTTAAAGAAATTATATCTTTGACTATTGGATAATTTATTTTGGATTGTGTGTTTTAATTTAAGATATGTTGAAATTCTAAATTGTTAGTTATTTATTTATTTGCAACCATACTAACTTGTTTTTTTGCATTTTTGACCTTGAAAGCTTCAACTTTGAAAATTTGAACATAAAAGCAATAGACAATTTTTTTGACATTAGCAATCTTTTAATTTTCATGTTTTGTCAACATCTCACAACTTCTCATTATAAATAGGCCCTTCCACCTCTACATTTTCATTTAACTTATTATTCTCTAAGTTGAAGGTTTTGAGTTGTTTTTTCTTTTCAAGAACATTCATGGAAGCTAACCTCCCAATTCAAGTATGTTTCTTTTTAATTTTATACAAATATGCATTTAAAGTAATTGACTAATTTACGTCTTTATACTTCAATTAGGTTCTGTTTTTAATCTATTAGTTTTATAACTTTGATACTTCATTTTTTACATGCTTTAAATCTACCTAGATTTTTTTTACTTAATTTGTTTAACATTTGAATTTGAAGGAGAGATCCACATGTTGGCAACATTTTGATATGTTGTGGGTAGTAGAAAATGATGGGGTTGAACGAAGGCAAGCAAGGTGTAAGTATTGTTTCGCTACACTTAAAGCCGATCTATCAAGACACGGTACAAGTAGTCTTAATAAACATTGTCGTACGTGTGCCAAAAATCCGAATAATATAGCTAGGTAATAAGTTTTGTGCTTTTAATTTATTTGGTAACATTTTTTTTAATACTAAATATGTTTATTTTTGTTTTATGTATAGAGATTGAAGATGCGTTAACTCGACAAGATGGTCAAGGAATAAGTGTTGTTTTGTTCTTAATTGTTTAAGAATTTTGATTTGAATTGTTTTGAATATTAGACTTTGATTTTGAATTGTTCAATAGGTACCATGAACTTAGACCCAACCATTGTCCCCTTCTTCGCTTGTGTTATGTTCTTTTCATTGTTATTTTACCACAACATGGATAAAAAGAAACATTCATTAAAATGATTATTAAAAATGACGAAAGTCATTGATTAAAATAAAAGTAATAAAAAAATAATAAAGTGGAATGTGGATGTGCATGCATTGATTAAAATATCATTCATTTATACTTGTTTACACCCACATGCACAATTGCACAGTACCAAACAAGTAAATTTGATTCAAGTTCAAAAACATTAATCAACCAAAACAAACACTTACAAACCAATAATCATTTATCGACAAAAAAAAAAACAAAAATAGTATAACTACTCGTTAATATCTATCGGCCTTTTTCCATTTCCATTTTGGGTGCGTATGGCGTCTTCCAACTCTAATACTTATCATAAAAAAATTAATATGAAAGTTAGCAGATAACCAATGTTTTGTTATTAGATAATAAAATGAATTTGTTTGCTACCTTTAGCCATGTCATTATCTTTAAGAATATCATCGATGTTGTCAACAATTGGCTTCTTTGATTTCCTCACCCAATCTTGGGTGCAAACCAAAGCCTTTATTATAGGTGCGGACAAGTTTGCTCGGTAACTATCAATTATGCGACCGCTTGTACTAAAAGCGGACTTGGAAGCCACGGTAGATATTTGAATGCCCAAAAGATCTAATAACATAAACATATAATGTTAAATTATACTACATTATAATAAAAAAATATAAGTAATTAAAATTATACCTTTTGCCATCCGCGAGAGAATTGGGTAACGAGATGCGTTATTTTTCCACCAAACCAATATATCAAAGTCCTTAACGCCTTGGGTTTGTCCTTCGTTCAAGTATCGTGTTAATTCCGTTTCCTTTGAAGCCGATGAATTCACCGATTGAGCAAAATAGTCACCCACAAAGTCGTCATCATCATCAATATGCACA